GCCGATCCCATGCTTATGTATTACCCAGATATTCCATGTAATGGCGTATAAATGTCGTATAAGCGATTCTATATATATTGCTAAAAAGGTTGTTTCGCGGTTCGGAAATGTTGACTACTGAAGTTATGAAAAATCCATCGCACACAAAAATAAAATCGGATCTTTTGTACGAAGGTCCGCTAAAGCTAAATAAATGAGTAATTATCCAGTTAGGGTTAAGTTGAAATTCGAATTTTGAATTCATTTCTAGGCTAAATATGTATTTTTAAACGCGGCAGAGATGATTTCCTCAGATCGCACGTTGATGGCGGGGGCTTTGTACAAAAGATCCAAGTAACCAAAGCAAATTTCATAATTATCAAGTTAGGGAATACGGATTGCGCTGCAAATTCAAACTTTCAAATCATTTCTAACCCTCTCATATGTTAAGGCTCATAAGCACACACATTAGATAAAGATATATTTAATCTTAGTACTTGTTATTTTGCTATGCACATTATTTGATAAGCTTAGGAAAATGAAATAGGATGAATTTAGGAAATGCATTAGAAAATATGGATACGATTTTCTTATTTATCACAATGAGGAAAGCCTAGAATACGACTTCATCATATGGTGCCTAAGATTTTCTCATCGGTTATCAGTTCATATCCGGTATGAGAACAGTTTGCCGGTTATTTGTTTCAGATGCATGATTTTAATTTATAGAGAAAACCGTACTATCGTCCAGCGCTAATGTCAAACCGTCACGCTATTAATCACTGCGTACCATAACCTCTCGTCTGGTTACCAGTCCATGTCGGTTATGGAATTAGTTAACCAGTTAGTTGTTTCAGATGCATGAACTCGATTGTAAAAGAAAGCCGTAACCGGTCAGCGACGGTCAGACGACTTTATCATATTGCTAACTAAGGCTTCTCCTTGGTTATCAGTTCATGTGCTTCATAGGCGGTCCGGAAGTATATTCACCAAGATGACGCACAACCCGAACCCTAACCTGGTAAACATACTATGTTCAGGTTGTACGTCATCTTGGTGCATATACTTCGGGAGCACCCTTTATTGCCTACATTCAAAATAAGTAACTGTACCGGTTGCGCCTTACAGATCGGCCCGCTCTATAGTCAGGACCTGATTGTAAAAGAAAGCCGTAACCGGCCAGCAGTTTAGTAATCCTGTCGCTTATAAGAGCGGCATTCCATTGTTATGTCCAATCACCTCCTATATCGCCGTCTAACTTTACTTTCTTAATCGCAAGATGTCGCCTCTCAGCCCGGCCTTCTAATTTTACTAGATTTATTCTCCCATAAGACCTAATGCATTTTCACTACAGGCCATCTATAGCAGTGGAAGCTCGCACAGCTGAGATCGCTATGTCCCTTCGCACCTACCTCCGCCTTGTTTTAATTAATCGCCTTCGGGCTCGCCCTTCTTATTTCGCTAGATTTATTTTCCCATAAGAGCTAATGCAATTACAGAATAACCAACTTAAGCAGTGTAAGCTCCCACAACAAGGACCGCAATACCTGGGACTTGAACCCGTGTCCTTCATTTAGCGGGACTTTGATCTTGACCCCTGAGCCACCAAGATGTTGAAGAATATCGACGGTTTTTCAGACGTTAATCTTCTGCTACACATGAGCTAAATGAGGTTGCCAGTTTCAATTGTAAATTTCATTGCAGAGTACAAGTGAAAACTCGTCTCTTTTACCACAGAGTGAGTGTGCGTGGCCTTGTCAAATATAAATTCTCTTATGAAATAGAAATACATATTTATATATAACATTTCTATCCATTACGTAAAGTGATGGATAAGAACACTAAGCTTTATCATATCGCTCTTACTGGTGACGAAGTTGACATTGAAGACTCAGTCACTCCATTCATTTCTGGCAACCTTGCCTAAGGCAACCTTGTTTTTGAGCGTCAAAAAGTTTAAGTTTGCCGGTACTGCATTTAATGGCTTTGATAAATGCTATTTGCACGCTTTAGTCTAGCTGATTTAGCCGATTTGGCTTATAAACTTGATAGGTTGCGGTCTACTTAGGTGATAGTCGGACTCCGCTACTAATAATCGAAATAATCTCATCCTAACATAAAGTGGAAATACCGGGAATGCATTCAAGTCTGCATCCGAAATAAGTAAGTAATCGACTATTCCTATACCCGGCATGAACTTGTAATAAGACGAGATGGCATGGCCTGCTACATGTATCTGGGATTCCATCGATCTGAAACCCAAAATAAGGACAACTAGAAAAATTCCTGCATTGTGAGCAGAAATAGCTGGATTTTCTATTAACTCCAGGCTAATGTCACAATTACAGACGCGACAGTGTGCGGTACACTCACCCTCCAAGCTTCGTTTACCTTTGAATTCTTTTTCGTACTCATCACGAAAAACGTTCTTACATTTGCTCATTTTTAAATTTAAGCTAAAATAACTACCACCACGACAAAACTCAAGAATCGCCACACTAGTAATGCTTCATGCCTATCTGTGCCTTGCCTCTTTGTGTTCCAAATAAGATTCTGTTGCTTTTATGATGCCACAAAAGAGCTTTGGCGATAAAACAAACAAAACAAACCTTCATTTATAAAGTTCAAATAATACAAAATAAGGACACTCAAGCCAAAAATAATGACAAAAAAGCTTAGAAATAAGGACGGTATGGAATCCCTGTGTATAGGCAGTATAGCCGCCTCATTGGCTCTCTCATCTCCCATTTAAAAATGTCAATTCTATCACTATGTTTGGTTTGATTTTGAGCGATGATTACGTAACTATTGCTTTGAAATTATTAAATTGTCGACTCATAATCTCATGATCCTTTTTACAATGACGCAATGTGCTACTTGTTTTAGAATGGATCGAATATTATACAATTGACATGCCGTGTTGCTCTAAAAATAAGCCCAAATCTGAATTTAAAATGATTTCAATAAAAACCCACCCCATAGCAAGAGGTATATCGGTTTTCATTTTGTATGCCGGTATATAAAAATCTTGTAACTCTCTACTTTGTAATTTTATTTTTATAAATGAAAACGAAAGAAATCCCCCAAGAATAAGCCCAAGTGTTATTTTCCATAATAAAATTGATATAAGACCCTTCTTATTTTAGGGGGTGGAAGGTAATCATATAAAATTCAAACTAATGCTGATAAATGAGTTACAGGGAGTTTACCCTACTCGACTTCAAATAATATTTCATAATTTGAACATTCAGTTTGTAATGTGTCGCAATCTTTTTACAGACTATACACGAGAGCAATTCAAGACAATGACTGAAGAATAATCATCGAATAAAACAGGGAACGAATGAACGATACAGAAGCTTCGTCACACTTGCATATACGGAGTACAAGGATGCTCGATAAACAGGTTCTTCATCGGTTCCCAAACAAAGCCGCACGATTGCTCAGTGCATGTCGAAAATTAACAGAATTGTGGAAATAACACAAAAAACTCCGTGAGGCCAGCGGAAAACAAACCTGTTTTTGATTTTGAACAGTATTTTGCCGAAAGTATGGACCAGCATAATTGGACCCGAGGTTTCCCAAACTTTTAAGATCGCGACCCCTTTCAATACATTAACATTTCCCACGACCCCCTGTTCCGAGTAGCCCGCCGCTAATCGGGTCTAACGATCAAATTCATTGTCATGCAAGCACGCCGCTCTTCTGATTCTATGTATTATCTCGAAATCGCGAGATTTCGCTTTTTTCACTAGCTTTGATAATTGCGTTTCAAATCAAAAGTCTAAAATAGTACAATTGATATAGTACTTCGTGCGAAATTAGCGTACTCCTTGTAACCCCTATGATTCGTTGCGACGAGTTTGGGAATCTCTGGTATATGCAACCAATTGTCCCCATGCCGAGAATTCTCGAGCGCTTACAACAAACGATACTGAACAATATGACGACCTGAAATCAGGTTTCAATATAAAAACAAACTTTCAGTCCTATGAATTAACTGAGTCACTAGCCTTGTGAAATAATTGAATCTTTGACGAATACTCGTTTGGAATATCCGAAAGTGTGTGAACACACCTCCTTAAATTTTCAATTTTGAATAACCGAAAGTAGGAAGGAGCGCACCGTTTACTTTTGTCATTTGCAAAATATTATCTCTGCGAAGCTGGAGTTTTGCCTTGCCAGTGGTGTCACGCAAATCGCAACAGAATTGGAAATACCATTCACGTTTGAGCGTAGAGAGACAAATATGCGCGTGCATTTCAAGCATAGCACCGCACTTTGAATGTGTCCAGAACAGCAGCTGCACACCTTTCATTGGATAACTAAGTGTAAATGTTATGACGTTTTGTTGCTTTGCATTTTATTACTTAAGCCTACATGTTTACGAACTTTAAAGCATAAAATACATATTAACGATGACAAAATTGAGTTTTATTTGAAGGCAGCATTCTTTCGCGTGAGTACGACGTGTGTTTTCCCCTGATAATTTGGAGCCGTACGAACGACTTCACGACACTGGCTGGGAAAACGAAACCGTCCAACATTTAATGGAATATTTTTCTCGCGCTGACGTGCCAAGATCATTTTTAATTAATCATTGCAAAGAACTGAATATATTCCCTGTAGATATCAATTTGCTAACAAATCCCAGAATTATATATTTTGGTATAGAATATGTCCTCATAACGGGTAGAAGCATCAGAACACTCACAAAACCAAGTTTGGTATAATTAAAATTATCATAACAAAAACGGTCGTAGTATGTGTACCAAGTTAGGGTTAGGGCATGATTTTATTCCTATTTTCAGTAAGTTTCCGGTCCATAGGTTTCAATCCATTTACACATGTTGATGTAAAGTAGGCGAACAAAATGAGTTACCTCCATATTGGTACACATACTTCTAATGCGCTAAAAAAAGTTTGGGAACCACACCCATAAGGTAAAATTGAAAATTCTTAGAGAAAATCAAAAATGAAACATTAAAGCGAACTTAAAGAATATAATCACCAAAACTCACCGCCATGCTTTCCAGCTGCCGATCCCATGCTTTTATCCAGCTATTCTATGTAATGGCGTACTGTGTTGCAGACACATTCAGAAATATTTAACTATTGAAGTAAGTTATCTGTGAATGTTAAATGGGTGGTTTTATATTGCTTCGAAAATAAAATTTTATATATTGAACTGATAAAAAGATAACGAAAAAACTACGACTATATACTGGTGGCCCATTATCACTGATAATAGTGCTAGAAAGAAGTAGCGGGCTGGCCTTTAATAAATAAAAATGTAGAAAGACAACCAGAGAAAACGCGAGGCCAGCGAAAGAAACAACTCGAATAAACTTATCACAGTGTTCGTGGTTTATAAAAACAGCAATTGTGCACCAGAGGAAATTGCGATCGTCAATGTCAAGTTTATTTTTTCAAACCAGTAAATATGTATATCACACGATCACAAATTACACAGTTTTATTGACCAAGGGAGGTCGCGGGGAACCAAAGCTGGTTTTTTGAGTAGCGAGACACAATGCTTACCGGAGATTATATTAATTGAAAAGTAAATTAAATGCTATGTGGTCAACGGCCAAATTTGGTCATGCACTTTCTTGATTGCGAAATCTACCCCAAGGGATCATATTCTGCGTTGCTGTCTTAAACCACCTCTTCTGAAGCGAAACTTACTCTCTATGGTTTCATATCCATGCGATCCTAACTATGTTTGTTTACAAGACACCGATAACCATGTACTTTTGCTTTCGTTACATGAACCAGAATAGAGCCTCCAAAAATGTCGTTAAGTTTACAAGTATTGCATGGAATACTGGAACCACATACGGATACAGAAATAGGATACTGATAGAATTTTCATATTTAAATAATACGGGGGAAAAAGAATGACGAAATGGCGTCACGTCTGATTATCTATCCACGTCAGGTATCTGAATAGATAGCTTTCCAAGTGCACGGACTTAATGGTGGTGGAAGCCGTAACAATAGGCGTGCCCAGGTAGAGAGGAGGAGGCGGGCATTCTATAATTTGTTTATCCCTCAAATTATTTTGTGAAATTAAGAGGGCGTCATATTACCTTTTTAGTTAAAATCCAAATTCTAAAAATGAAACTTATAAAGGCCGTTTTTATCTAACTAAACCGCAACCAAATTACGGTTGACCACCGAACTGCCAATTGCTACTCGGACTATAAAATATTATCGTATTGCCTTATTTAATAGCAAATGCTAATTGACGCAAGACTTGAAATTTAATAGCAAATGCTAAGTGACGCAAGACTTGAAGCAGTACGATCAGTAAAACAGCTACGGGGTAGTGAATCCCATATGACTGAAGTTCTTGTAAAAACATTGGTAGCCTATACCCGTAGTATGTGTACCAGATTAGGGTTAGGCCATAAATTTATTCCGATTTTCCCTATTTTAGTTCTATTACGAGTTCGGGGACTGTCTGTGTTGGCCAAGTGAATATACCCCCTGCCCTTAGGTTTCAGTACTTTTACACAACTTGATGTAAATTAGGCGAACAAAATTAGTCACCTCCATATTGGTACACACACTTCTGGATCACATAATCTTTGCCATACTCTTTCATATACACTGACAGTGAACGATTGAGAGCTAACCGAGTATGATGACTGAAAATTTTTCGAGGGACACATTTCAAACGTTAAAAAGGACGCATCTCATTTTAAAAATTTTAAAATTAAATTTTCGATCCTCAGTATTCATTCTCACTTCTAACTAATTAATCAACAGTTCTGCGGTCTCCTCTCTGCTTCCGTCTTGGAACTAAACTCGTGAAACTGTAACCAAACACTCAGGTATCCACAAACTGTTTTAATATTCTCGTCAAAATGAATAAATAAGAAGAGAGAATTTCCCGCTGCATGAATTATGAATACGTGTTGTTGCAGAAATGAATATTTATTTACGTCTCGCATAGCAAGTTATACATATCGCATTTTCGAGTATCTGGTGATTTCAGAATCGAATCGAATATTTCTCTCTGGAATATTTGGAGGATATGCAATTGAATTGAGTCGCCTTCTTTCCACGTATTACTTGACAATTTTCCATCTCTCGAAGACGAGCGACCGATCATAGGCGCCAATACATCCTCTGCGATAGAGCTTATTTGTGGCTGTTGTGGCTTTAATCGCCCAATTTGAAAACCATCAAGAATCTTATCTTAATCCCAATTGTGCTGGAATGCGCCAACATCGAACTTGGCAATAAATTATCTCCCCGAGTCGCCGCTACTTCCTCCCACGTATGACTGACCGTTTATCTGTCTCTCGCGGACGAAGAAACCTTACAGAGGCGCCAGGACATCCCTTACGATAGAGCAGCCTAATGAATATACATAAGAAGGCAGCTTCCAGAGTTCGTGACAAAAAATAAACAGAAATTTCATCCAAGCATCCGAAGAACTCGCAAAAATTACGCCTTGCTTGAAAATTATTTTTCAAGCGCTTAAGCAAGGTCACTTAGGAATAACGGAAACCCTTCTCTGAGTAAGATTTAGGCATCAATTTACGCATTTAGTTCGTCAATGTGAGTTTTGTTTATTTCTACTCCGGGTAAGGTTTTCATACTTATCCCATGAGTGAGGAATACGTGGTCGGTAAGACGTCCAAATCACATAGCCAGCCACCTTTCGTCCAATAATTATTGGGAATGGAATTAGTCAACCAGTCTTTTTCAGATATTTATTTTTGTCGCCTTTCACTGTTGAAAAGAGTTACATTTACGGAAAACATTTATTTGTTTATATATTCACAAGAGTGTATTAGGTTATCCTCTTTGAGAATGGAAATAAACTTGCTCCTTCAGTTCCCTAGCTAGAACGAAAGACAATGAATTTACTAATTCATTAACTCCACGATCTGAAATTCGACAAGTGAATAGAATTCTCAGCCTTTGACTGAAATGCGATTCCTTTACCGGTCGTCCGACTCCTTGGTTTCCTAATTAGTGGTTTGAATAATGAATGAATAACGAGAACTTAGGTCATCTGTGAGGCCGTTGCATAACGAGTTGTGGTGATTTATATCCTTCCCAGCTCGTTTGTGACAACGGTTAACAATTCAAGGCTAACGGTTAACGATAGAATGTTAGAATGATCTTTACTTGGTGACTGTACATTACCGAAAGTTTTACATTACAAAACCATCTAACTACGGTTAATCATTTGTAGACCCACGGTTGACCGCTTATTGTCGGCGGTTCAGTTTCCTAATAAGCGGTTTGAGTCATGAATGACTAACGGGGCATCTGTAAGTCTCTCGCATAACGAGATATGGTGATTTATTGACTTATACGAATATATATACGCGTATCTCAATCACTGACAACGGTCGAATATTCTATTCGTTTTGGACATCCCTACTATGAATACTTATTCCCGCATTATATTTCGCGAGCTAAGACTTCTCGTCTAGTGTCTAAAATAGTTTAACTAATGAACGGGAACCGGGCTGTGAACGAGAAATGATGATTTATAGACTTCTACGAATATACGCTGGAGTGTATTTCTATAAAACTGACAACGGTTAACCACTCAAGCCCATCGGTTAACCATAGAATGGGTGAATTACCTTTTTATTAGTTGACCGTACATTACGATTTTATATGTGAGCGGATCAGATTTACAAGTTGATAAAACTCTTCAGCAAAAATAGTATTCATAGAGCATCAGCAAAACAGCAAAAAATCTCATTTTTTACGCTTGTTCGCTAAATTGGTCATTCATACACAAATTGACGAACATTTCCCAGTCAGATGGTTGACTGTATTATTTTGTACTCTCGAAGTATGTGAATCAAGATGGTCTACACCGGAAAGTAGTATGTGTATCAGGTTAGAGTTAGTTCATAATTTCAGGCACAAATACTACGGGAGTCACTTGGCTAGTCTCCGAACTCGTAACTAAAATAAGAATAATTTGGTATAAAATTATGGCGTAACCCTAACATGGTACACATACTACACTTGTTCGCAATATAATATACTTCATATTGAAGAGCTAGTTCAGTTCGCTAAATTGATCATCTATACATAAATTTATGAACATTTCTCGGTCAGATGGTTGACTGCATTAATTAGCCATCTTATCGGCTTTCCTCCCCCCATTTCACCAATTGACAATTCCATTCTGTTTACAATGTCGTGTATTAGATATTGCACAAATAAAAAAGATTGTCAGAGAATAAAAACACAAATAGGCCTAAGTGAACACACAACTGCACAAACAAACTTTTTGAACACACAACTGCACAAACAAACTTTTTGTCGTGAAAATTTGATTTTCTCAAAAATCGGAGTCAAAAGTTTCTCCATCTGGAGTGGGGGTAGCTTTTGAATCAACAAATTCTACTAAAAAGACTAAAATGCCTGTAACATTTGGAAAATTTTAAATCGGAAAACATAATTTTTCTAGACTAGAATGCCACGACACTGTAACGGGTTAAAAAAATGACAGGACAAGACAATAAGGGGTTAATATAATAAATAATAAGCCAAATACATTATGGAGTAATAACGCTGGGTAAGATAAATACATTATGTGATCATAAATATACAAGCAACAGTAGATTATTTTATCATAAGCAAATACACAATAGATTAGATTGTAAATACCAAAGCAATATATATTTCATTCTCTCAATGAATTTGAATGCAAAATATTGAAAGGTCTTGCCTTTAAAGTTGCAAAACAAGGTCGCGATCCCACAACTTAGGTAGAGCACTGATAAAAAAAACTTAAAAGTGCTCAGACCTATATGGGGAACCACCTGAACTAATAATAGTGGAATACTGACATAAGAGGTATACCAAAATCTTATATTGCAAGTTTGCGCAAAGCAAGGTGTCAAACCAACTAAAAGTAGCACTGGTGAATAAAAGATGGTTTGTTTATAGAAAGACAGGTTTTTCTGGTCTGGGTGAGATTGATGTAAGGTCTACACAATGTCTACATGGCGCTTCCAAAAGTATGTGCACCAATATGGAGCTAACTAATTCCGTAACCTACTTTACATCAAGTTGTGTAAAGGGACTGAAACCTGTGTGCAGGGGGTGTTTTCTATTAGCTAACACAGACAATCCCCGAACTTGTAAAAGAATTAAAATAGGGAAAATCAGAATAAAATTATAGCCTAACTTGGTACACATACTAGGGGAGTACCCTCTACATCAGGGGTGGGCAACATACGGCCTACAAGATTTTGACCGGCCCGCTGACTGTACTTCAGTACATTGTGATATTACATTATGTGTTTTTTGGTCTCTATTTTTTGTAAAGTTCAAACTTTACTTTAAACGCGATTTATAATTTTCTTTCTTGCATTAGCGAATAAATATGTGATTAAGATATTGAATACTATTCATGTTATAATCCGGCCCGCCAAGGACTTCATTTTCCCACATCTGGCCCGCCGACTAGAGAAGTTCCCCACCCCTGTTCTACATAGTGGGGTCTGAGGTACAGATTAATACTAAACGTCTACTATTCTAGTATTATGTCTCTGGGTAAATAAATCAAGAATCCCAAACTTGGATACAATTTGATACAGCGGAAATATTTGAATACAGTAACAGAAATAATGTACCAATAAAAAGAATAAAACTTGGTCAGAAAAAGCGCCGAAGTCGCACAAAAAATTTGATGACAGGTTGTTGTGGTTACGGTTGAGTTTTATCCTGCGGATAATGTAAGAGCTACAAATGGGCGCTCCTGAAGTATGAGTTCCAGTATACTAATTTTGTTTACCTCTTCTACATAAAGTTGTATAAAGGGATTGAAACCTATGGACAAGGCTAACACAGACAGTCCCCGAACTCGTAATAGAACTAAAACAAGGAAAATCGGAATGAAATTATGGCTTACCCTGACCTGGCACACATACTTAGGGAGTACCTACAAATGGCCCTGACATATAAATAGCAATGAATATGTTAAGACAGGACTTGACATTATGTTAGGGAAACTACAACATTGTTAGAGAAAAGTTGGATAGACGAATTTTAGCATGATATAAGTGCCATGGATATATTTTCAAAAAAGTTAGTTTGATAATTGAGTGGTTTTGTGCGATTGTGTGTGCAAAAAGCATTGGATCGTGCAAAAACTGAAATGTTTCAAGAATGTTTCAATGAAATAAGGTCCAATGAATAACATGAGATGAGAGTGCAGTTTAGAAACGGGGTTACAAGTTCTAACAAAACTTGATAAAAAAAAAACGGTTTTTGCAAACACAGGAGTTTTCGTAACCAAAATACAGTTTTCTCGGGAGTTAAAAAAAAACTTTTCAAACTGAGAGAGAACAGTTGGCAGGGATTGCCGAAACCGAATATTTCACCATTCCGAAAAAACATTTTCGAATCTCAAATATATTCTAAATTGGGAAGTCATGTGGAAAATCACATAAATCACTATATCTTCATATTAATCATATCTAAATTAACATAAATATAAAAATCATCATTTTATCAGTGTTGTTTGTTATCAGTTGAGATATCGCACGTTTTTATTGGCGTGTCTGATGACTCGAAATCCCTAATTTTCAAATAAAAATATTCTACAAACTGGGGTTGCGGACTGCACAGGGGGAACTGAAAAGAGTCTGATCGATCTTTAATAATTAATTTCAATCAAAAATCCCGCCTATATTTTTGGTTGCGCGTTGCGGACGAATATCCATGGGGGCACGTAAAAACTAAGATTCACAAATAAAAGTCCACGGCCATAAAAGTTAAGAGTGTGTGGAAATACATGAATGGATTGGGTTGGATTACAACATATATTGGCAGTCGAAACCTGAAATTCAGCGCAGTAGGCACACATAAAACTTTGCAATGGCCACAATAAAAAAGTTAATAAGATAAAAACATAAAACTCTGCAATATATAGGTAGAATACTTGAGATAGCAGACACACAATATGGGGAAATTAAAATCATGTTATTCCTAGGTATCTATGTTGACAGCAAAAGATTGTCAGTGTTAGTGCCACATGCGGGACTGATAAGAAGCAACCGACACGAGCTTTACTTGAGATATGATAAGATTTACATATCTATCCCGTGGGGAAATGAAAGTCGATAAGTCGGCTAAATCATGTGAAAAATAACTGCCTCTCGTCTGGTTACCAGTCAATGTCGGATATGGGATTGGTTGGCCAGTTGTATTCAGATGCATGGACTTGATGGGAGAGACAAAATCACTATTCTGTTGGTCTAGGATAGTTTTTCAAGCATTTGCTATAGTATAACATGCAAAACTGGTAAGATCAGGAATTGTTTGAATAACCTTCATCACATCGTGCCTTGGTATTGCGTCAAATCTTCCTGGTAATTATATCTAAATTCAATACTTTAAAAGATTTCATAGTTTTACCTCAAGCAAAGTCGCCACTGGCTGCCCTGTTTTCAGAAAGACATAAATCTTCTACTCATTATAGGCGGCGGGTACGAAGATTGAAAAATGATAACCTGGGACGGCAACATCATTAAGCACAATACGCCACCAGCGGGGAAAATCGTATCATACTATAGGCTTCACAGAAATAAAAATCGAAAAAAAATTCAGTGGAAATTAACAACTTGAGTCCTATACAAGTGCATTGAGTAAAAAAAGAGAAACAGTCACGCTCTATTGCTCTCTCATTTTGATTGTGATGCTTGAATTGTCTCTCCTATAGTTCGGTCATGGTTTATTGCCTTTCTCTCTCATTCTCCTGTACTTAATCAACTCAACAAGATTCGTAAAATGTTTTGTTTCTGAAATTTCTCCAAAATCATTATAAATGTCAATCTTACATTTCTCTGTTCCGGATTCCGCCTGTTGGGAAAAATTAAAATACAAAAAATTAATGGAAAATGCAGGGAAAAAACTTGAAGTACGGTAGGTAATAAATTAATTCTTTGAATGGTTTATAACAAAACTGATATAGATTAAATATTCTTATTAGATTCGCTCTCCGCCTATTTACACGATGTCCATAGTTATTTTACAATTTCAATTTTGTTATGAAGTCAGTTCTCAATAAATCTCAACCAGGTTTGTTGTATTTTATTCAGTAAACCAGGGGTCGGCAACCTTTTGTCGCTTGCAAGCCAAATTGGGTTGCAAGTCATTGGCGGGCCGCACATATTTTTAGGAAGTTGAAAACCGAACGGTCGATACTTTTTTATAATGAAAATCAAGCTGCGATAAATCTCTCGAATAGAATATAGATTTATTTTCTCATTGCATCTCATAAAATTCCATTTAAATATTTCAAGCGCCATTGACCCCTTTGCACTTAGCATCAACTTTTTTTGCGTTTTGTTGCCATTTTTCTAATTATATGCTAATTAAACGAGTAATTGTGAATTATATACTTGTTAGATTATAATAGAATTTAGTCTGAAGAATATAATTGTCAAAACGGCTGTTTTGTTACTATAATTCAGTGAAGCGTCGCGGGCCGGCTTATATTACTCCACGGGCCGGATCCGGCTGTGGGTTCAAGACCCCTGCAGTAAACATTCAAGTATTTTTACTTTATTTAATATATCTGTGAGGGCCAAAACAATATATGGTATTGATAAACTCCCTTCGCAATTTTAAGACTTTATGGACACCCTATATAAGCAAACCCCATTACCTTTGGTGAATCCAAATCCTTTATCTCCAACTTTGAACTCATGAACTCCGGGCAACCAAACCTGCACCAAGCTGCAAAGCATTCACTCGTTGGCCAAACGGAATCCTTGCCGAGCTGTGTCCTTGCTGCATGACAAACCTGCGGGAGGAGAAACATTCAAACATTCATAAAACAGGCTCTAGACAAGAATACACTGATAAATACAAAGTTTCTTAGTGGACTTGGTTCTGGTAATTATGAAGATACACCGTTCATGGCCAATGGCAATCACCGAGGAAACTTATTCAGATCAATTCGGTATGGTTTGACATGTTCGAGTCAAGACTGCAAAGTCTACTTTTGATTAATGACTCCTTCCTGTTCTGCATTGCTCACACAATTTATCGCACCTTAGGTGAAGTGGTGGTCTTAGGGTTTGGGCACCGAGGTCATCACTTGGTTGTGTTTTCAACCAGCTCTTAATAAACATTATTGAAAAAAACAGCTGTATTCACATGCATATTGGTTACGGAACATTGATGACAATGGCAAATGAGATATCTTTCAATGGTACGGTATTTAGTCGATATTTATACCAGTAATAATCTCCTACAGGAACACTACCAAACTGCATTTGGACCGTCACAGAAACTCACATAATTTACTTTGAGTGAACACCATTGGGCACCCAGGCGTACAGTTAGATTTACCAGTGGAGAAGCTGAAAACAACCTGAATGGCAAAACTCAACAACAAGGGCGCAGCCAGGAGTTTTGAAATTTCTGAATGCCAAGTTAGACTGTACCTGCTAGTTGGTCTGGTCGGAGGTCGGATAACATGGTTTTTCAAGAGTCCGGCTCTCAACCACTCTCAAAGCTTTGCCCCTGCTCAGCAATTTTCTGGCACAATTTAATATGCAAGGAAAGAGCCAGTGGTGAAACTACTAACTCCGCTCAGAGATGATTCTTGCCTAATTTTCAGTGGACATTGCTTTGAGCAAAATCTTTCAAAACATATTCTATTTCTAACAATTCAAACCTGCACACCTGATGTATCGGCAATGACTTTAATTTATAAACACCATTCACAAGCCTCGCCATTCGGTCTGGGTGGATGTTCTGAGAAATAGAAAAAAGAGATGAAATATTTGTCATTCCTTCCACTTCAAAAAAGGTTCTGTTCAAGGACAAAAATCACATTCTTCTATGACTTATAGGTTCGAAACTGACAGTACTTTGAGTAGTATGTGTACCAGCGTTAGGGTTAGGCCATAACTTTATTCTGATTTTCCTTATTTTAGTTCGGGAACTGTCTGTGTTAGCCAAGTGAATATACCCCCTTCCAATAGGTTTCAGACCCTTCACACAACTTGATAAAAAATAGGCGAACAAAATTAGTTACCTCTATATTGGTACACGTACTTATGGAGAGTCGAAATTTAATCTTAGTCCTATAACACCTTTACCCAGAATTTTGACATCTCATCTTAATTCATGGGAACACCTTCATGGCCATTCCAAGCAACTGTGGAATTTCATCAATGAAAGGTGAATGCATGGTGGCCGTGCCGTCCTGTAGTGTCACGCTTTATTTTACTATATATTTTACATCCACCAAGTAAGTTACGTGCGACTATTGTGGTTTGTGCAGTTTTGTTCAACCCACATTGGACAATGAGATAAAACTTGTTGCTGGCAATGACATGCAAAATTTCTGGATTTATCCCGTAGAGTCACTTGGAATGTCCCTTCAAATGACCCTTGGATCTATATACTTGAGCCACTTAGAATGATTCATTCAAACAAACGAATGTTTACTCACCATTATAACTTCCTCAGTAACCATTCCCGCCTTCAACCTGATGCATTGTGAGTTACCCACATACACCACCCAGTGGTGGGTGTGGTATTCCGCACAAAACTCAACGATGTCACCTAAATGAGCGAAACAGATGATTAAAGGTTGATTAATTATAAACTAAGTGTTAACTAAAGATTGAGGTTATAGGCCACTAAAATAATTGATCAGCATCACCTGTGTGAATTTGCCAATTTCACACACACCTACAGATTCATCTGTGAATAAGAGGGGCCTAAATTATATAGAATCGTGGTTGTGCGTTACACACACTCACTCAGAAGCTATGGAGACCCATATTGATAATTATAAGAAGATCATAACTGCCCTCTTTGATATCGTTAGATGAATATTCGAGTAGTAATAATTAAACAGCATTTGAATTTGCGGATCAATCTCAGACCCAACCTGACTTGATAACCAACCAGCAGACAATAATTTATATTTCTTCCTTCACAGAGATAAATACGAAAACTCAATTCAAGCTGCCATATCAAAAGTAAAGAAGAGCTATTGTATGCTAAGTCGTATTTAAATTCTTTCATTTTGTTAAATGAACCAAGAAATTTTAAATCCCTAAATGACTTAATTTGAATAGAAATAACATAATCTCCTTTCACTTGGATAATCTATATTACATGGCAATAGATTTTAGTTCATTTACATTAAACACATTCAAGCATACCCATGGCAATATCTATCCACAGGTCAGCAACCTTTAGCATTGAAAAAGTAATTCGGCATCCATTTCAATCAAACTCAGAGCAGAGCAACATCTACTCTAATGCCAGTATTAAAATTCCCGGTAAATCATTAATGATAAATTAGTTCTTACTAACAACAAGCCAAATGAAATACGATTGCATAACACTCTAGCACAGGGGTGGGCATGGTTATTGGAACCAGGGGCCAAAAATTTGCCCATCTGGACTGACGGGCCATGTAAGTGTGACGTAAAAAGTTACATTTTAAGAACAATATTTACAATGTTACAAAAGTAGGAAACAAAATGCCTCATGGAAAAACTAAATTTAGTGGCAATCTTAAAAATTCCTTCCTTTTTTAGGTAAAATATCAAAATTTGGTTTAAGTTGGTTGTGGCAGCATCAGGTGCGCCATAGTGAATTACCCAACGAGCCGGATAGTCTCACACATGATTTCAGCAGCATTAAATGGTCCGAATGTCTTGCATCATAGTTTGAAAAATTTTATGTTGCAACGTCAGACGAGCATTTTACAATAATGATTACATCAGACTGCAAACTGGCGACGCAAAAATACACCTGATGACTGGCCTAGCAATGACTAATTCTACATCCTATTTATGAATAATCATAAAACACTGCTTCAAAATAAGCCAATCTAAAATCCATGTGTCTGAAATATATCGGCATAAATAAGTCGTTGCAATAGTAAAACATTCACCTACATAAATTTATGGAATGATGGGGTGAGGCTAGTGTGGCAGTGAACAGACTCAATTTTGAACAAATTTAGAATTCCATATTAAGAAATAATATTTGAGAATGTAATTATGGTAATTATTCAAAGCAGTCTCGTTTACATACAACTCACCTGGTTGAAGCATTGTGCATAAAGATTTAATATCGGTCGTCTCTGCATGGTTCAGCCTTTCACATATCAGTCTGGAGAATAAGTTATGATTTAGTATTTCATTGATATCACTTATAAGATAACAACGCCTATTTTAAGGTATTTAAACGGTATTTTCAGTTCCATTTCAGTGGTTTTTCTTACATGTATGACATCTTGACATCCATAATTATTTGATCAATGCATGTACGACTAACTCTTACTTTGTCAGTATTTTAATTCACAATTCCATGAAGTCTGGGCTTTTGGACGTATTAACTAGTTGAGTATTCCTATGCTGGACTGGCCACGGAACCTTAGCTCAACAGACAATTGAGCTTTCTTAGAGGGCCCTATCCATACATGTCAGTGAATGTGATTCCACCAACACAAAAACAAAGTATTTATCTCAGCAATTTGGCCGTGCACTTGAAACACTTTCTATTTGCATTCCACACTATTTTTTTATCCGGCATGGAAGAAATACTCAAGTGTGACGGCCACTCTTATAATTTAATGTAATTGTCAATCCAAGTTAGTGAACCCTGGCTTATGTGAATAGCATGGGATTTAGCCCATGATATGCCAACACAATTACTGTATATCTTCGGATATAAGCAGAGTTTAGAGCACAAAAATAAAATTCCAAACAAAAGGGATGGCTTATACGCGCATAACTCTGAACACACTCAAGCGAAATGGAATTATGCTGATTTAATTCCAACAGCTTCTTATCGAACAATGCTAAGTTCTCACGATAAAAGCCTACGATTTTTATGGTCGGCTTGTAGGAAACCATTTATAAATTGCCGTTTTAGGGGGTCAATTTATATGCGAGTATATACAGTAAGTCTAACCAATAGGCCACTGCTACCTACTGGAACTTATGAAATAGTTAAGAATAAATCTAATTTCTCATTTAACTTTCATACTTACTTATCATTCAGAGTGATTGTGTACTTTAATTCTTTATCAATATTTCTCTGATTATTAATCTGTTCATGAACGACCCTTTCCTCTGAGTCATCTTCTGTCTCGTGGAATACAAACATAAGATCAGAACCTGCGATGAGAGGGTTAAGAATAAGAATTAGCAGAGAAAGCGTAAGAGAGCTAAAATACACAATTCACGCCTTCGTTCTGAGCAAAAACATACACAAGGTCATTGAAGAAGCAGGGATTTGAACCAAAGATGTGTAAACTGCGATTCTAACACGGTCTGGCCAAGCGCAAAGGCAATCGCACCACATGCGAAGAATTAGCAAGAAAGCATATGAGAGATAAAGAAGTTTTTTACATGATGAAGCTTAGTCACGCCTTCCTTTCGGGCTAAGACATACTAGCATACTATATCTCCTGATATAGAAAAGGCAGCATATTATTTGGAAGGAATTTGAACCCGAGATTTGTGAAGTGTGATGCTCACACGGTCTAGTCTAGGGTAATATAGGGCTTCCACGTCGCCCAAATATTGTCACTCTGACTACCACAGTTAATTAATAGGAAAAAAAATTAAAACATTGTTAGACAGGAAAGCAATGGTAAATAAAAGAAATTATTGTACGAACGATTAGGCATAATTTATTGGTTCATTTTCTCAAATATCGATTTAGTAATATAAATATCGCAAATTCTTACCCCCGACATTCTCCGGTATTTGTGAAGCATCCTTTGGTTTCTTGATATCGGTTGCATGTAACGATGGCGAACTCATATCGCCTATCGGAACTTGGTTGTAAGAGGCTTTGTTGCCCATTGTGAGACGCTGGAAATAAAGTGAAGATGTAAATAATGGAGGGAATTCAGGGCATAAAAACAGTTTTAAAAAGATTACAGAGTTGAAAAAAGGCTTGAGTCAAACTGGTAATATAAGAAGTGATCGAAACTGTCTGCTACTCTAATTACATTCAGAAAAGATATTTATTTCACAGAATACATAATGGTTATTATTTTACATTCTAAAAAAATATTTTCAAACACGGAATATCAAATATATTTTGAACCGGTAATGCATCTTGATTGACAGAATAATGAAAGATATTTCGTGTTTGCAAGCACTTTTTGTTCCAGCCCAAGATTCTGACTCAAATATATTTGAAAATATGTCCACAGCCAATGTGTTACAATATTTCCCAAGTTATCAGAAAAATGAATGTCAACAAAATTTTCGAATTACAATATTATCAAAAATAAATACATTATTTACCTTCCCAGACACTTGACTATGTGGATGACACCTTGGAATCACTCCAACATCGCTTGGCACACAGGTATATGAATATTATGCATAGTTTAAACTAAGGCTTCCTGAGAAAATATAAAAAAAAGTTCAAAACAAATTGCCTGGGCAAATGAGAGAAAACGAAAGAAATGTATATGGACTGCTCAGACATTCCTAATTAACAACACAGAAAGTACAACCAGTTAGCAAAACTCTCACAAACTCAAGGTCAATCAGTATCCACTAAGCATAATTCCGTACACAAATTTGATAGTTTCAATGGCGCTCTCGTAGTATGTGAACTAAGATGGCGGACACCGGAACGTAGTATGTGTTCCTGGTTAGGCCATAAATTTATTCCAATTCCTCATTTTAGTTTTATTACGAGTTCGGAGACAAGCCAAGTGACTCCCGTAGTATTTGTACCTGAAATCATGGCCTAACCCTAAGCTGGTACACATACTACGTTCCGGTGTCCGCCATCTTGGTACGCATATTTCGGGAGTACTGTTTCAATAACTCTCAACATTCGAGCTTGCTCAGAAATTTTTGCAAAAAAAATTCCGTACATCTGTTCCTGACTAGCTGTGTAATTACACTCTGTGAATACCACAGTAACCATTCTGCAGTTAATTGATTGTTTGACTAATTATTCAGAAGATCTATGACCATCTGTTTCATTAATAAATTATAAGTTATGAAGAGAGAAATATCAGTTTACAAATGTAAAGAACAAATAAATATTTGAAACCTGTTTTGTTCGATAGCGAATCCCCAATGTTCAAGAAATCTAAAAGAAAAACCTACTGTTATTCAGGAATCTTACCAGTGTGGCATTGCTTACCCATTTTTTTCACCCTGGCTGAGATTGATAAGTACGGGGTTTTATGTATGTATGAATCAATATTTTCTTTAGTGGAAAGTGTAATTCACAGTTGTTTTATTTCATTCGGCCCTGTATAAGCTTCCACTGAAGATAAAATATTTTTGAACCTGATTATTACCAGTTTGGCATTGCACCAGGGCCATCGTGTTCAAACCCAGAAAATATGATAACTAAAAAGAGACAAAACCTAACCAAAGCGATTTTTATCTCTACTCCACTGTACACCTTTTTGAATCCATATTGATTTTGTAGAACATATAATTACTCAGTTTTGATAATCCTCAGATCAAGTAAACCATGGAACAGGATTACAGCAGATTATATAGAGGGTGGCAATTAGCTGCTGCATATCTTATGATTACCCAACCGGTAAATCATACTATAATAAATAAATAAACAAAACCATAGCAGGGTATATCACATATGGAACTTATGGCCTAAAAGGTTATAGTTGATTCAACTACTCTTTGACTTTGTGTAGCGGATTGACTGTAAGGATACTGTATCGAGGATTAACACTGCTATACTGGGTTGCTCAAAGGCATGCATCGACATTTCAATATTCAACACTAAATTAAGCTACAATTTTCTTGATTCGCTCTATACGAGGTTGAAAACAAATATTTACTCATGCTAGGAATGGAAGGAACTGAATCTCACTTGTTAGGGACATGACCCTATCATCCTAATCATACAGAATCTAGGTATTCCAGTCTAGGATGAAATTAGACAATTTTTAATAAATCTACATTGAATTTTATCGAAGACAATTTCCGACCAGTCATGGATCATCGCAATTGTATTACAATGAAATTGCACAAAGTATAACAGTCATATTTACAATATTTTCCCACAAAGCAATGCATTCAATGACAGCATCTGAACAGTTATGCACAGGTTTTAAATATTCTGACAAGTCACAGATCATCGCTCAACGGGGGTTGTATCAGTCACTCAAATCAACTTTGCATTCTTTGATGGCATTACAATAGCAATAAGCAGGTAACAAATGTTCTGGCCATCACGCATCACCGCTTAAACCAGAATATTCACATCAATATTGCTTTAAATACTTCTCAACAAACCCACATTGCAATTCTTTGACAACGTCTAACATGGCCGATTCCGCACCAGCTCTGAGAACCAATGACTGTACTTGCAATTTGACATTCATTAGACCTTCAACCAAGCAGTAACGAAACCGTCCAATGACTTGATAGAGTTGTTTTTCTCCACAGAATGATTTGGTGGGAACTCCGGACACATCGAGTAAGATATATTGTCGTTTATGGGAATCATATAATCTCACAGTATCTGTGACTGGATCGTAATCTACTAATGTTCCCAATGATAAAACCATAATTCCGTCATCTTTTTCGGTCAAAGAGCACACTTCTGCTATGCTCATTAACTTCATATAATCATCCATTGCTAACTGGTTAAAAGCATGCAGAGTTAATTCTGCAATCTTACTACATACTGCAGTAGCCTACTGGAAACAAAATGGGGGAAAACAGATTATTAATTGGTTTTGTTTAAAGCAAAAATTAAAACTGCCAGTGTGTTCTGGTCTTGAAATTTTATTTCCTAGAAAGAATATCCAGGTCTGCAGACTGAAGACCGGTTATACCGGTAGATACGTACCGGTACCGTATAACTGTACCGGTATAAGTTTATTTTCAGAATGAATACCGGTACCTACAACAGACAACATTTACGGTATCGGTACCCTATTTCCGAGTCTACTCTCTCTATTTACTCCTAATTACAGGTAGTACCGGTAGTTTATTTTGAACTCCACAATCTGACAATACAAACAGTTCCACTTTTGCAGTACAACAAAATATTTGTAGTTATAAACTATTATGCTCGACAGAGACGGTCAGCGGTAGAAAAGAGAGCAAAGTTAGGAATTATATAAAAACCTAAAAACGAACAACGTCCTCTTGAGGAATAACACAAATCAATGAAAAATCTTGTTCGCTATTTCCACCTAGCGGATTTACAATGTGGCGTTGTGAAATTCGCATGTTGGCGCCCTGGCCTACATAAAACATCTAGTATCATAATGCCGACTAGATTTGAAAAAAAAATGGAGAGTTCTCCCAATATAGTCAGAGTAATATTGCAATATGTCATTGATGTATATTATGTCGAATTACTGTTGTTGTTATTGATGAATATTGTTTATTGAAATATTGTTTTATTTTATGAAAACTCAAAAAAAAAGGGTGCCGAAAATAATTATTCTTCCGACAGCGATTGCCAGTCAACATCTGACAGTAAAATCTAAAAGAAAATATTGAAATCAGACATACGCAAAAAATTCCTCTTGACACGCGTAAAAGACTAACTAAAAACAGAACAAACCAGGATTTGGGAATTTAGATTACCGTATTTGCTTGTTTTATAGCCCGGGCCCATATTTTTTTCAACCAAATCATTAACCGGGCCCTTATTCAAACCGGCCCTTATTCAAGCACGGGCGCTTGTTATTTTAGATCGTTACAATAATTAATATATTGTTTATTTCCACCCGCCTTTACCGCCTCGAAATCCATGTCAAACAGTCGCCGCGGTAACACCACTTGTTGAAAGAGCCGACTTTTTCAACGAAAAATGAATTTTCTGTCTTCTGTCTCATATTTAAAATGTCTTGCTTTATTATTAATTTTATTGTCATCAATTTAAACTGTGGTTGTGTCGACAAAATAAGAGCCACTCTAAAACACCACGGCATTCCGCGGGCATAAATATGTGTGGTAAACTGACCGATTATATATTGTTTTGATCCGTATTTTTGCTTTTTTGCAAATTCCACAAATTTAAGATGTACTTGTAACACTGACTCCTTTCAATCGCAATGCTGCCACCCCGATTATTTTTAAAGATGAAACGTTCCGAAAAATCCGTAATTCTGTTTTAAAATCTCACCGATAAATTTTATTTCAATACAAAAAATTTTGTTCGAAAGTACTTTATAGATTAGCTATCTTATACATCATCACAAACTGGGAAAAGTCGCGTTCTCAACCTTATTTAATGTTAACACGAACATTTTCGACGGCAATTTTAAAGTAATGGATAACAAGGTAAATCCCGCTCACAGTTCACCGTGTTTTGATTCTAGTGAAGATATGTTCTAAACGCGGAGAGAACATAATGTGTGCCGTAGGCAGACGAAATTTTGCGATTTTCAATGCCTAGAAAAGCGTTTTCAAACTGTCGCGGGCCCAGTATGTTCCCCAGTTTTTCATTTTAGGGGGGGTGATTCGAAATTTAGGGGGTGGTAAATAATTTGCTATTAGCGATAAAACTATTTGTATTCTTAAAAAGTTGGTATGTATTTAAGAAATGATGTACACTGGGGGTCCCCCAAATTGATTGACGGCGAGCCAAAACACACAACATAATAAAATTGTAGGGCCAGAAAAAGGGAGCGATGTAAAGTGCGCGACGACACGGCTGGGGTTCAGGGCGCGCTACAAGCGCCCTGAGAAAATTTTGAGAAATAGGCACCAAAATAGGCTCTAAGCTTGATTTTAGATACACGTAGCATGGCAGTTTGTTGAAATAATAATTATAATATTTAGCTGATAGAATTCTCGAGAAATAAATAACAAGCACGGCTTTCAGCAAGTAATTTGCAACTGATAGTGACTAATGAAGTTACTTGCTCATCTAGCATAATGACTACTTATGGCTTGTTTTGTTACACATTCCACATTATTTTGAACATGTTTGTTTGATATTTGTATGAATTAAACAATGAATTAAATTTTGAAATACGCGCGTCAACTGATCATAATGGCGCATAATGTTGTATTCCTTCAAAACTGAAATATTGGCATGGAAGACAAATTGCTGAAGTTTGATTCTTTTCAATAAAGAAATAAAAACGCTGCCATTCATATAAAAAACGTCTGTTTTCAGTGCCTAGTTTTCGTTTTGCGACATCTTTAAGCTTTCTTAATATACGGCTGATATCTAAAATACTGCAGTGTGTAATCCTTAAACCAATACGTATACATAAGATACCGGTATAATTCAATTGTTACGAAATAAACTTGCTCAAACTGTGATATTGATGTAACGATAAACGGTATCTAAAACTCAAAAGGTATCTCATGAAGTGTTAAACTATTTTGGCGGGCCATTTTAAGTCGTTGCGCGGGCCGTAAGTGGCCCGAAGACTGCGGTCTGGAACCCCTCACCTACACTGATAAATATGCCATAGTCGTTATATTTGAATACAATTATACTAGAGTTAGGAATTACAGTGTGGAATCGCACCTCAAAATTAGGGGGGGTGTTTGAAATTTTAGGGAGGGTGTTCACCCCCTATAGGGGGGTGTAGGGAAATCACTGCGCGGGCCTCAACAACACTTGCTCACTGTTTTATTTTCAGTATTTTATATTGCCGCTTTTCAATCGAACAATTTAGGTCGTGGATTTATTCATTAATTAGCCTTTAGAATCTTGTCTCACCGGATGCACAATTCCGTGCGAGTAACAAACTAAATAATTGTCATCGTTATCGTGGTACAAATTTGTGATTTAGAGACAATGAACGTCAACGGCTTAAATAACACGTCACGACGATGAAAACATTCGGCGATTTTAGCAAAAGGCAATCGTACGCGTTATCGGCAAAATGGGGCAAACGGGCCCTTAATCAAGATCGGGCGTTAAAACGAGCATTTACGGTATATTGATTTCGCTGTATATTTATTCCATAAACTTGATGGCGGATGTACTCCAGCTGTGAAAAACCATTATTTGCGGGAAAATGACTAGTCGCCCGAAAGCGTGTCAAAGAAAAGTTAAAACTGACATAAGCGGAAACAATGATACCCCAGAAGTATGTGAACCAAGATGGCGGACACCGGAGCGTAGTATGTGTACTCGATAGTTCAATTTATTCATTTATTGTGATAACGAATATGTGCGTAGACTGCGATTTAGTGGACAATGCGTTCGATAATTTCAAAAAACATATAACTTGGATTGAAAGATTAGATTAAAGACTATTTCTTCGGCGACAAAATCGTGATACACAGTAACGAAAATGACGAGTTCGAGACATTTTTTTGTTCTACTCCAGGCGTGCACAACATTTTTGCTATTTGCAGCCACATTGCAGTTATTTGTATTCAATACGGCCTCCAGGGGGTTGGTGAAATTTGTTTTGGGCTTCCATGACGTCCTAACGCATATTTGACCCATGCGAGGTGCAGTCCGCCCAATTATGAAGTATGTAGGACTACTTGGAACTTGGAAGTATAATATTCGCATTTCAAACGGATTTTTCTTTTCGGTGGACCTGTTCTTGAGCAGATATATTGCAGCAAGTTGCATAATGGTTGCACAATTTGAAAAAAATAAATGATAAAAAAAATCGAAAGTATTTGGGGGAGAGGCGATCGCCCCCATTTTGTTGTCCCCAAAAGTATAATAAAATGTCGAATATTTTTATGAATTTATTCTATAAAAGTTTGAAGAGCGTAGCCGCCAAATCCTATATTTTGAACTTTTTTTTGGTTTGTTTATAGGATTTTGTATGTGGACGGCCGCATAATTTTTCACGACGGCCGCAGGTTGTGCACCGTTGTTCTACTCTAATCTGCTGCCATGGCCTCAACTGAGGTTGCCGTGGTTACTCCGCTTGATTGTGCTTTGAGTCTCTCTTTACAATAACATAGCCACTGGATTTCCAAAAAATCTTTGGATACTTGAACATTTTTTATTATATGAATGAATGTATTAGTGTGAATATTTTGTTGCTATATTCATATTCAATTTAACATACCTTGTTATGACTTATCGATCTTTAGATCGGTAAGTATGTTGATAGGTATTTGTCTGTTTGTCTGTCTGTTTGTCTGTTAGATGCACGCGATATCTCACGAAAGCGTGAATCTGCTCCAAATTTTGCATGTGCATTCATCATATCTCGGACCAGAAGCCTATTGATTTCGGATAAATTATGTCGTATAATTAGCGAGGTATTAATTAATAAGTGACGGGACACGCGGTGTCACTATAGAGTTATGAATCGAAACCGCAGTTTCGATCGATAAGTCTTCGGTCTCCGACCGATATTATCGTTTTGTCTTTATATCCAATCGGCTGTATTGCGCGATTGGAACATCGTAGGGACATCCTATGTGGATGGCGTTGTCATATAAGGATCTTAAATTAAATATGTAAAAATTATTAGCCTACAACTATTAAAAGTATTTGTGGTACTAAACTATACTCTTCTCCTTATGTGTCTGATCGCTATATATGGCTTAATATACCCGGTTTTTGTGTCTTTATATTTCAATCGGCTGTGTTGTGCGATTGCGACGTCGTAGTGACGTCATTTTTAAATGGCGTAGTCACACGGAGATCTAAAATAAAACATGCAAAAATGGTTAGCCTATCACCACAAACTTGTACTTGTGGTACTAAACTATACCCATCGCCTTATGTATCTGATCGCAATGTGGCTT